AAATACTCGTTTACTTCAGAGATGACTTTGTCATTTGAGTGGAATCTCTTTCCAACCAAGAATTATTTTAAATTTGGAAAAAGGTGGAAGTCACTGGGGGCCAAATCAGGTGAGTACGGTGAATGTGGAACTAATTGGAAGCTAAGTTCGTTTATTTTTTGTTCAGTGATTCTGGCATTATCGTGGTGAAACAGAACCTTCTTCTTCAAGTGTGGCCTCTTCGATTTCTTTCTTCAGTTTTTCCAAAAGTATACAGTAATAGACAGCATTGATGGTCTTTCCTCTTTCTAAGTAGTCAATAAAGATGATTCCTTTAGCATTCCCAAAAACCCGAGGCCATCACTTTCCCCGCTGATGGAACTGTTTTTGCCTTCTTTGGTGGTGGCGAACTNACATACATATGTAATTTGGACTAAATGTGGGTGATTAAGTTGCCATCTTATTTTTAATTATTAAATTTTATAGAAGACAGTTGCATAACTTTCTACTTTTAGTCCATATTATGTTTATATAAAGATTTTAAATGTTTGAAAAATGGAGATATGACTTTAGAATATTTGATTATTAATTAAAGTACACCCTGAATAAATATATATATATCATGCATAGTCAATTAGAATTTCATCTGTAACATATGATTAGTCTTACCAGTCATATAAGTCTAATATTTTATTCCAGCATGATGGAAGTATCATCATTGAATTGAAGTGAGAGATTTAATAGATTTCAAGTAGTTACAGCATATTTTGATTTAAAACTTTGTCATAATCAGCATTTATTTATTTATTTATAGACACAAAAGTCTAAAATTGCTCTAGATAATGATGTTATTTCATATTCCATGCAATAATAATGGCAATATATTTAGTTCTCTTACAGTACAGTTCTATTTTACCTTTTAAAATTTACATGAAAAGTATTATTAATAAAAAAGAAAAATTTTTCCTATTACCCAGATAAAATAATTGCTAAAGTTTGGAAGATCTACAATCATTTTTCCAGAATTATTAATTTTAGTAACATATAAGGATATTTAAGAACTAGTATAAATATTTAATAGTAATAAAAAGTACAATTTACATTGCAACATATAGTTTGTGTTAAATTCTTTATTGTCACTGGGAGATTTTCTTGTTAGGCCTACTAAGCCTGGGCCACACAAAAATGCACGTGCATCACTGTGACAGCCTGTCACGACATTGCATGTGCACCACTAGAATATGCAACATTATTCATTGACTGTTCAACAACAGTTGTTGTAACATCTTCAACAACTTGTGAAGTGAGATTTGCACCCTTGACCAGGTTGAACTTCCAGTTTCTTCAAGTTGAGTAATAATTTTTTCCATAACTTGTGGAATCAATGGCTTTTGTTGATAACTGTAAATTGCTTTTTATATATCAAATTTGGACTTTGTTATTATCAAGCAAAAATTTTTAGCCATAATGCACTGGAAGTTTTGGTACATCAAAATCATCAGTGAATAGACTGTTATAACCTGAATTATTAACTTTTACTTACCTATAAACTTATAAAAATACCATAAAAAAACTAAAATTTTCCTAACTTTACATAGCTCTCTTGGAGGGAATTTCCTTTATAATACAAAACTGTATATACTGTGTAAATACTGTTGTTTGACTTTCAGCTATACCTAAATGACTACATAAGTCCAGAGACTGCCTATACTTAATAAATAATGTCAACCTTACATTTAAAATTAATTAGATTATTACTATTTTAGAAAACCACAGGAAATGTTTCAGAAGCATGTCAGTTTAACAATGAAAGAAATTGATGAAGGTTCAGAGTGTAAAGAGTTTTGGCAAGCATTAGGAGGTTGGAATCGTCATATGTATCTCTCGTTATTGGACAGTAAGTATTTTGTTTAAAATGCATGTTGTTAATGAATATTTTGAATTAATAATAATAATAAATTGTAATGTGGAGTTTATTATAATGAAATCTGTTTTATGTTAATTATTTTATGCTGAAATTAATACACTCATGTTTCTAAAATATATGAATTCCTTGCCTAAGTGTTATCATAATATCACAACAGATATTGAAAACTAAACCTCGTTTACTGCACACTTGAAGCTGAATACGTTTCTCTCTTGGGTATTCCAAGGAGGTCTCTGATTTGAATGAAATTTGGCGAGCATGTAGTTCTTAACACAAACAACTCCATGTCCAAATAATAGGATATACTTCTCAAGCATTTCTAAAAATTGGGTCTCTGAAAATTGAGTGTTTAGTGTATAAGACTTTGGAGGTTTCAAATTTCCTAGGAGTGGCAGTACCAAGTGGACAAGATGCTAGGCAATGGAGTGACATGATGTAGGTTTGAAACTTTGCAGTTTTACATGTAACATAATTATTTTATTATTACTACTGTTATTCCTCAGGTTTAAAGCTAATAAAATAAAAGCAGATGCAAAAAGTTTAAGTTTAATTAAAAATACACATACTGTGTCACCATTGGCAAATAAGCTTTGGATGCTACTGTAAATGGACAAAAAAGACAAGTGTGTTATAAAACTTTTATATGATGACACAAAAGATTTAAATCTACAGACACATCCTTTTTGCTAAACAGGAAATGACATCACAAGTTTTTAATTGTTTATAACCCAAAATGAATATTTCAAATAAAAAAGTGGCCCTAGAATTTTCTACTCAAAATTATTCTGTTCGGTTTTTTACACACAGTTTTATTACATCTTGTTTTAGTCTTATAAACACTCAATTTTCAGAGACTTGCTGTTCAGAAACACTTGAGAAGTGGGTCCTATAATTTGGACAAGAAGTTGTTTGTGTTAAAGGCTACACGCTCATCTAGTTTTCTTTGAATCAGAGACCTAAATATCTGATCTTCTCTTTGTTAGTTTCATTCTTAGAATGAACAGCAATTTTATACTTTGAAGCATTTGTTATTATTAAGTATACAATGTCTTATTAGTGAATTATTAGATTATAATTAACTGTATGTATATATGTGTATAAATTTAATTTAATTTATTTTAGGTACACTATCTTATGACTTTTCTCCACGCTTATTCTACTTGAATAGTATCTCTGGAAATTTTGCTTATGTTGAAATAGTATGTCCTCATTATAGTAAAAAACATTCCTGTCCTTATCCTTTTCTTCAGTCAGATTTATACAAAGCACAACAACCTGGTATGATCTTTTGTTATTATTATTATTTAAAATAATGAAATATATTCTAAAGTTTATAATTTTTTGTTTTCTAGCTCTGTTTTTATTAGATAACGAGTCTGCAGTTTACTTGTGGCAAGGCTGGTTGCCAGAAGGGACAGAAGATACGGAAAACGTTTCTACTGGTTCTGCAATAGTAAGATGGAATAATGATCGTCGCTGTGCCATGGAAACCGCTTTGCATTATTGTCAAAGTATGCTCATTTATACACTAATTTAAACTTTTGTTTCATTTTATTTTGATTTAAATATCTGTTTATTAATAATTTCAGATAAATGTCATGATAATCCTCCTAAAGCATATCTGATTTCAGCTGGTCTAGAGCCTGCAGTGTTTACTAATCTCTTTCCACAGTGGCAACAAAGGGATGATGTTGCCATTTCAAATATAAAAGTATTGAAGATTTTAATACTAATTATATAATAATATGTTTTAATTATTAAAAATAAATTGTTTTTTATAAATTTAGGATGGTAAAAAACCAGGAGAAATGCTCTTTGTACAAGAAGTATTAGCACAATTAACAAGGATGCATTATCCTTTATCGGAATTACAACAGTTACCTTTACCCGAAGGTGTAAACCCATCACGATTGGAATCTTATCTTACCGATCAAGATTTTGAGGTATGTAATTTCTTTTTTCATCAAAATTCTCAAAGATTTTCCAACTAATGATTAAGAAAGATTTATAATTTATATATGTTTACTCTTACCAATTAAATGATTGATTAATATTTTGAATTTTAGGAGGTTTTTAGAGTGAGTAAAGATGAATTTTATAATCTTCCCACCTGGAAACAATGTAATATGAAGAAATCAGTAAAATTATTTTAAAGTTTGTGATTCACGTTATTTTTATCGTCGGTGTTTTGAAGAGTTATCCTCCATTTTTCATTACTTCAACAGACGAATTTGTACATAAACATCAGAAAAAAGGGTGTATTACTTAATTTGATTATTTTTAATTATAATTATTATTACTATCATCAAATTTATATAAATTTCACACTTGGCTTTTCCAGTAATATATGTGCAATATTGTTACTAATGGTAATTCCTCTGTTTTACTTAATAGTAACACGACAATCAATTTAGCATTCGGGATAATTGAAAATTTTTTTGCCAATTTTTGGGGTGATAATTAATATTTCTCAGAGCTTTTGTACATAACATAAAATAATGCAGAGTATATTTAGTATTTATTTTTCATTATGGATGTATAGTGGTTTATGGTTTATGTGATGTCTTAATACAGTTTAGAGAAACAACATATATTCCCTTATGTTTCATAAAATTTGTATGAAACCTAATGTTCCTAATTTATAACTGCAATAGTGAAATGATTGTTGTGTAAAAATCCTTGCTTTATAATTTTTTTTAGAAATATTTATGCTTACAATAGGTATTTATATAAGAATTTTTGGTTATATTTATAAATATATGCATTTTGTACTGTTTCTACAACTTGACTTATCTATATTATGCATGAAAATCCCTTCAAAATTTTTCGACGAGACGAGGACGTAGTCAAACCTATATGTTAAAGAGGATTATTTTTTGATTTTTGTGGTGCTCGAGTGCCTTACTAGAGATAATCAACAGTTTGCCTTTTTCTGTATTTCTTGTGCCTCTACCAAATGTGTATAATCAAATGCAGTGATAAATTGTGCCTTTATTAGGCAGGCAATTATTTTGCTCAGTGGGGGAGTGCATTTCCACAATTTTGTGGCTTAATTTTATTAAAACATTATTTGTATCAAATGACAATTGTAAAAGGTTATTAATATTAGTCAAAAATTTCTTTCACTTGCAATTGGAATGAAAAATTTATTGCTAAAAATTTGAAATTATAATTTTATAAAAATGATGAATATTGTATAAATTAGACTAAAATGTAGCAAAATCTTTTAAATCTTGGCATATCATGCCCAAAAGAATATATATATATGCAAATTGGTAAAAAGTTATCTTGTAATTGGGCATTAAAACATATAGATTATACTGTTTCCTATGTATATATTTCTAATTTCATACTTTCATCATCAATTCCTTTGTGTAATGTGTGTTTGGTAGATGTATATTGCTGTGTGTAGCAATCTAGTTGAAGCCAAATGTAAATACTAATAATTTTTCAATATAATAAAGAAAAGCTTTTCAGATTGGCATTTGTGTTTTATTTAAGTTAAATCATTCTAGCATGCAAAATGTTTACAAGTTGATAGTTGTTAAGATTAATTAAGCCTTATTATGATAGTTTTCTATCATAATAATGCTTGTTTGTATTGACAATTAATATATCTTAGGTTTCTTATGGTAATCTAAATAAAAAATATATAGTCTGTTTATTTATATAATTATAACTTTTTCGAAAATCAACCTTTCTGGAAAGAACAAACAAATATTTCTAATGTTAAATAAATACATAAGACACTACATATAATGTTTTAATAGTATTGCTATATTGAAAAAAATGGGAAGGTTTACAGGAAAAAGATTTATTTTGTGTAATTTATCCAAATTAAATGGTAGTGTAATAAATTTTAAAATAAAACGATTTTAAAGTACAGTATTTTTTTATATTAAAAAATTTTACAACTAATACTTTACAAACATTCTCTTTTATTGTATACAGTAAATAGAAAGGTATATCCATTTTACTTTTGTTGTTTCAACAAATTTAAAAAAAAAATGCTATCACTTTTGATGATAATATCTAAATATTTATATACATTTTTAGTGAACATGCACGAATTGAAGGGGTAACAAATCTGTCTCTGTAAGGGGTACAAGTGAGTGCCGCCATCATTAGTGAGATTTTGTGCCATATTTTTATATTAATTATTAGAATTTTTATCTTAGTGTAGAATTTTAGCCCCTTATTTTGTCTGTGTAACATAGAAACTGCAAAATTTGGCATTTACAATCATCCCACACCAAAAGTATGAGGAGAGGTAATTGCAAATTGTACTTATAAATACAGATCTTACTATTTATAGTGACAGTTAAGAATAGGTCTATTTAATTAACTATGAGCATTTGATATAGGCTTTTAGAATTCCTCAAAAAAATACAAAAAAGTTGTCTAATTAATATCTGTTATCTAATATTTTTTGTTTTACCTTTTGTTTGTTACACTTTCACACCTAACAAGAAAAAATATGTTGGTCTTAATCCTTTCAAGCAAACTATTTATTAATTATAGGTATATTTTATGTAAACAGTTTTCAAAGGGCACTGAAAGTTATATGATAAATTACTGATTTTATAAAAACTACATGCAGAAACTTTGCTTTCTCTTGTTAATCTAATTTTTATAGGATAAAAATAAAAGATTTATATTAAATTATTTCATTTTTCATGTCTATTCTGATGTATTCAATACAGATTTCTTGTCTGTTTTTCTTCTGCATGCTGATATTAAAATTGCCCAATTTTCTTCATTTTGCATCTAAAAACTTCATGTTTATTTATAATTTCTCCTGTCATATTACATTTACCTCCTCTTGGTGAGGTAATGTAATATGGATTTTTTTGAACATTTTTTAAAAATTATCTTACTAATACAGCCTAGTAAGGACAATTGCAGATATACAGTATTAGTAAGATAAAACAACAACAGGGTTTTTCTATTCTAGTGGTATTATTAAGTTGTAAAACCATACTCCAGTATGATCTATGTGACCATCCCAATAGGATACGTTATTATTTTATTAGTGATGATTCTACATGATTTTATTTTTTGTCTTTATAAAAAATGCTTGAGTAGTCAAATGTTCTTTTATTTCGTGTGGTATAACAAGTTATTGATTGTTTAGTGTGAAAAAAAATACAAAAATTCATTGTTACACTCAAGAAACCGATTTAAATCAAATCGTAGTATATATTAACAAATCACCTATATTAGTTTTCAGCTGAATTTGAAAAAATTTTCGAGTAGTACATATATATTTATAATTAATTTTTTTCCTTCGGCATAAAAAGTTCTCTTTAATCATCAGTTTTTCTGGTTATCTGTGCACTATAACCCGAAAAATAATGTGTGTTCGCAGAAAAAATCCCTTCCGAATTTTAATGTATTTCTAAGGAATAAATGCTTTCAATTTGCGCAAATCTTAATTTATGTACACGTTGCAGGATAATGATCTAAGTGCAGAATTGACCCCGTCCTATTTCTGAGAATGAAGATCGACGATTCCTCAATATTATTTGACTAATTTCAGTTTAACGAATTCTATCATATGAGATTGCATTATTAAAATCAATTCTTTAATTATTTGTGATTAACATTTAATATTTGTGATGTAATTTTCATAACAAACGAATATTTTTCCGGTTTTGGAAGGTTCTGTTTTGAACAGTTTTTTTTTAAACAGAAAATCGCTGCATTCCAAAGAATTTTTCCCGTTTAAGCAGGTTCAGTTTTCGACAGGTTCTGTATTGTGTCCACAATTTACACTTTCTCTGTTATTTTCAATTTTTGAATTTACACATTAATTTGTATTTAATTTTAAATAAATGCAGATTTATTGTATTAATTATCCAGATATTTGTGTAAAGTTTTATTTTATTACATCACCTAATATGGTATGTTGTACTGTACTGACAGGGAATTCCGTACAATATTCTATTAACGTTTGAATGAAAAATTCAAATTTAAAAATTTAAAAGTGAACACTATAATTATAAAGACTTTTGTTGATTTAAATATCATGCATATTTAAATTATATTCAAACGTAGTCATTGAATGTAATTACGCGCAAGTATTTCACCTATTATCCTCGTTTTTTATGCCATACTTTTGAATATATAGGGATTTCCCGTTTTCTTTAACCGTAATCATAAATTACACGTTTGAAAAAGACGCATACAGTCGAATCGAGTGTTGTTTGCTAATACTCTTTTCAATCTATAAATATTAAGAGGTCCAATAGAAAAGAGGAAAAAGGACAGACAGCCCAGGGCGAAAATCGAATTCTTGTTGCACAGCGAGTGTTTGATTTCATCTGACATTAATTGAGTCTATATTTTATTTTTTAAACATAAAATAATGGACGTCATTTCTTTGTTATTCAATTCCTTTGCCTTTCAGTAGTGGCCATATAAATATCTGATAGTACACAGTAGTGCCACTGTTACGAAACGAACGAAGATGCAATTATTACGCCATAATAGACCTGGCATATATCAGAAGAACGGAGAAATAAACCTGAAAAACTTTATTATTTTGTGCGTTTAGGAGTTGGGCAGGGGAATATTTCAAATTTCTTTTCAAATTTAAATAATTTTATACTTAAAAGTAATCTTGAAAAAAGTTATTAAATTATTCAATTATTACAGTAGAAAATATATTCATAAACTTTTAAATAACTAATGTTTGTTTTGCCAGGTACAAATTAGGCCAAAAAATGCTACAAATATTTGAAATAAAAAATGATTTTCGGCTAAATACATGAAAATAGATATAAAACCAAATCGTATTATTAAAATATCCAGCAACGAGTTGCTTAACTTTCCCAGCAACATTTAAAATTGCGTGTAGCGCTATCTGTTATGATACAGTATTTTATTTAGAAACTTTTTATATAATTAAATATTATAAAAGTAGTAAAAAGCTTAATTTTGAGGGTTGTAATGAGTTTTATAAAAACAAAATTGTATCTAAGAACAGAATCGTCATTTTAGTCCGACCCCTCTCGAGATACGACACACGATCCCCTATATCTGACCTTTAACCACCGAAATTTAACAGCATCGATCCCCAATACACAAATCTCCCTGCAAAATTTCAGAAATTTTGGACAACGCACGGGAATTGTTATGCTTCAAAGTGTGTGAACACAAACAAAAACATACAAACACTCTAACATTCGTATACATAAAAGACCCCAGATTTTTTGTTTTTTTGTTATTGTTGCATTTCTCGACGTTTTAAGGTCCCCCGAGTCCAAAAATGTAAAAATCTTGCGGGAGAGCGTCGTTTTTTGACCGATGGCCACTCTTTCCCTCTGCTATATATAACAGAGCTGGCAAAGTCAGTTGTTTAAGATAGAACTGACTTAACATATTTTGTAAGAAATGCATTTGAGAAATTACGTTAACAGAAACAAAAGTTCGATACGTATTTTGTAGACGCAAGATACCAAGCAAATTAATGTTATAGAGCAGGATACAATTTGTCCCATTGCCAGAGGTCCCGAATAGGAGGGAGATATCGAGACAATTCCCGTATCCTATACCGGATTCGAACCCAGATCTAGGAGGTAGGCTGGCATTTTAATAAGGGATTGTCCGTAAATTACGTAACCCAATATTTATACTTTTCAACTCCCCTTCCCCTGTTACGTTCCATAACAGTGAATGGCACATGACCAATCCCCGAAATTACGTAACGCCTATCCTCGATCGATCCCCTTAATTATACTAAGGAATAATACACAGCACGGAGTACCGAACGTTATATTATTTTATTAATTGTACATATGACGTACAAAGCAGTGATACAGTTTGCTATACAACACTTCAGAAACAAAATGAATTATTCTCTTAACCGAGGTTTGAGCATTACGTAACGTTTTCTTTTGTAAACAGTCTCCACCTTCTTGTAACGATTACCTGCATACCCACACAACCATGTCTGCGTTACCTAATTTATGTACAGCTTCCACGTGTACGTGGCCGATAACATAAAATTTTTTTGGTTCAAAGAAAAAGGGAAATTTTTCTGAAGCTTACTTTTTAAAATTTTCTTCGTTAATACGACAATTATCACGAGTGAGGTTAAGAACAATCATTATTGTAAATAATATATATATTTTTTTAAATTTAAATGGACGACAAAGAAGGCATTTGTAAATCAGCTGAGGACGATAGCCTCTCGAATGGCCTTGATGTGTCAATTACACCAAGACAATTCTTTTCGGCCATATAAAGTAATAATAAAAAAAAGTAATTGCCTTTTTTATATGCATAAGAACTTACATCGAGTAGATGCGATATGAAATATTTGATTTTTTCGGTATTTGAAATAATGGAAATTTGAATTTCTTTTGATATTTTGGAATATAGCTAGTGTTTTTTATAGTATGTTTAATTAATTTTTAAAGACTCGGGATTATGTCCCTATCTGATATCAATGGCTGAAGGTCATCAGGGTAGAATATCATGTAAAATATTCTTTGCGTTTACTAGAATGAA